CTGAATTGTTCAGTTATTGGTGTTGAATGTTGAATTCACACCTTTGTTGCCTTTACTTGCAGCTTGATCGGCGTAATAATTTACGGAATAAGAATCCGGGCTTGAGCTGTCAATGTATTTTTTTAATATGATGTCATAATCATGAAAATCACCTAAATCCACTCTGAATTTGTCTGTATGCTGAGTCGCTCTCAATAATTTTTGTTATCCAATTAAACGCCGCCATTCACGCACTTGTCCCCTCATGACCCGACGCGTTCACCCATTACAACGCGGCAGTCATTTATTTAGTAACTGTGTTTTGTCGTTTTATTTTTAAATTAATCACTTTATTTTATAAATCAATAGTGTCTAGTAACCTGCTAAATAACAAGACGATTCAGTCGTCAAATTTGATTTTGTCCAATGCCGGAGTCCAGCGACAGTGTACAAACGTGCTCCGGTGACGGTAACGACCACGGTGACTAGCTACACCAGACCGGACATATTTCGCATCTGACTCAACCCCATGCAACAAACTTGATACTATGTGTTCATTATGGTCCATTCTTCCTCGACGAACAAGTACATAAGTGGCAATTTAGTCAAAGACGAGGAAACAGCACAAGAAATTTGCCTTATTTACACGCATCGGCAATGCAAGCTGCCCAGCGACTTCCCTTTCTGACGTCACAAGGGGAATTTCTGTATGCAAATGAGAAGCTAATGAGGAGCCTCGTTTTAAAATACGAAAAAATAAAGTTTCCGTAGACTGAGTTTAAACACATTTTTTCACTTAAAAAAAAATATTTATGCTTAGAAACATAAAAAATAATAATATTTATGTATTAATGGATAATTTTAGGTGTGAAAATAGCAGCCATTTCACAGGCACTTTAACTACAAGTTAGATGCAGTTGGTTCAAACTGGAACTCACTGATCAACTCTAATTAAAGGCCACTTTTTGATTTCTACATTTTTTAAAGATTTAGAAGTGTAGTTGAATTTCATTCTTATTTCTTTGTTAGATTTATGTTCATTACACCCCAATCATAACCCTGATTTGACACTTCTTGGTACATAGAGCGCACTCTTCAGTCTCACCATGCAAATGTATTTGCCCTAATCCTAACATGGCCTGGCGGTTTCCACCATTCAGTTCAGAGGATGCCCATGATATGGTCAACATATAGGTTTAATAAAACTTAGACAGTAAACATTGGAACAGACTGATGGAACTACTCACAATTTTTGTTATTGTTTGAATTGTATCCAAGGTTGTGGCAAAGAATTCACACGACTATGACACAGCAAGTGTCATATTACTTAGTTTGCTCTTCTAGACCCCAAGACCCTGTATTGGTTTTTTGTCATTCTATACCTTAATAACTCAAATTATATCATGATATTGTGTGCAAAATGCTATTTATATTCAAGAATCGTATGTCCCCTCTGTATACAAAAATGTAATATTTGTTTTATTCATATTCGTCTGTCTGAAGTCATTTCTCAGACGTGTCTGCGTATATTTTACAGTGGTGCATGTATATATGTATATCAATTTATTTTTCATTTTGTTGACTTGACAAACTGACTTGCAGTCATTTTTGTCCATTTGAATATATCATGCCTGCGTCAATTCCATTTAAACGTGGCATTAACATCACTTATGGTCAGTTATTGATCGTTTTGTTTTGTGATTTGGTACATATGCAAGTTTTTGTTTGAATGACCTTTGACCGACTGGCAGCCATAATTTTTGAAAACATGCCTGGGCTGATATAATCAAACTTTATATGCATATGATTGGTTACTATTATAAAACATTGACATATCATAGTAGGTCCAGGTACTGTAAACTGTTTTGTCATTTCGCTATTTTCGCCGATAAGTAAAATCTGCTAAATTAAATCCACTGGAGACATTGTGAATATTACACATATTATTTGAAGGATATAAATATGCATTAATTTTTTATGTAATTATGACGTCATTGTTCTTGTCCATTTTTGATCAAGATTGTTCCCACTTAAATTTTATCTAGTATTTTTCTTGCATTGTTTCAGGACTTGTAATTTTGTTTTGTCATGCAAAGTAACGATGTGTTTTTTAATTCAATGAAGTGAAATTATGTAAATGGCTTTATTATCATATAGAATTCATTTTTGCTGATTTGTTTATTTTAAAATAAAATTTCCCCATGTATTTTGTGGATGGACCCCAGTGACACACTGCTGTGAAATTAAAGCATTCAGGATTAACTATTTCACCACCACTTTCTCGTCCAAATTTTTGTTGCGCTTTTATATTCTTCAATATTTCTGGAAATTAACCCTAATTTTGAAGCCAACAGACAAAATTTTAGTCAATTTTCAGTTTGTACCCCCAAAATTTGGCTAATTTTGTCCCAACCTAAAGAAAATGCAGGAAACAGAACTATTTTGTGAATTTGTGATAAAAAGAGGGAACTGATGGTGAAAAGATTTATAATTGTCACCAGAATCACTATTTATTACATGTGTAATTTTGTTGTCAGTTTACCATGCTATATATCTGGACCATCCAACGGCGGAAGAAATGAGAAGCAAAGTATCCATCTTGTATAATGTACCTGTCACTAAGATATCCCATATAGTTCGCCAAGCACCATCCGGTATTAGAGTACT